TTCAACTCGTGAAATTTTGCGCTAGAATGACTATTCAAATATTTTTATTAAACAAAACTATTAAATAGTTAAGTTGATCCGACTTATTTATTAAACTATCACAAGATTAAACATAATTCCACTTAACTCGATACGAATAACATTTCGAGGGGAACATTCACTGATGGTTGGCTCCATATTAACACATCCTATAATCGGTAGGCTGTCTAATTGTTAGACAAATATATTTTCCTATTAAACATGCATTGTTATACTATGAAATGTCATACTTTTATTTGTACTGCACTATAAAGTATGAAATTTAATTATGAAAGTATAAATATAATTTTTGGATGAGTGTAGTTGGCTAACTATTAAGTAGTCAAGATAAGGCCCACTGTCGATTTAATAGTTCTTGCAATTATCTTTTGAATTGCATATGTTGGATGTTCTTCTATTTCAAATTTACTCTCTAATTCTTTAATTGTGCGTAAGATTGAACACAAAATATTACAAAATATTGTTGAAACGGTACTTACAAAATACGATGTAGTTGAATTTAATTAGTATATAAAGCTATACAGGGGCATAAATTGAATATATTTTATAAATGTTTAATCCATAATATATGTATCTATGCATATATATATATATATATACATATATACATATTAAAAAATTTAAAGTCTTAGGATAATTACACATACATATATATGAAGTAAAATGAAAAGTTTGGGGGGGACAATGGCCCCCCTAGTTGCAAGGTAGATCCGCCTTATGTTTGCACAGTTATTAAGAATATTTTTGTTGCTAATAATAATCTTGAGGATAGAGATGAATATTTTGAGAAAAGATGAAGAATGAATATGAAAAGATCGTAGTATATTTATTAGCTAGATGAGAGTAATAATGAAAAAATATGTACAAAATATCCAAAACGATATTTATTTTGTTAATAGTTAAAAATACTAAAATGACATTTAAAAAGAATAGAAGGTAGTACAAAGTACAAACAGTAAATAAGTATTTAATGTATTTGTGTATAAATTTTAAAATTATTATAAAAGAAAATTAGGTGTAAAAATGAAATTATTTGCAAAGAATTATTTTAAAAAGTATGCTGGAAATTCCAAGAATATAAAGGCATTTGATTTTATTATTCAAATCTATATATATATATATATATATATAAGTTGAGAACGTGTGCACAATTCGTAATATATTTGACACAATTATATGTTTTGGACTGGCATACAATCAGACTTGCTTGTCAACTAGACATTGTAATTGTCATAATATCTTGTAAAAGATAGTGTTATTATTTTTTTTTTACCAATCAATCTTATAATTATATCTTTTCTTTTTATTTCTTCCTAATTTATGGCGTTTTTTCATAATCTCAATGATTAAATTGCAAGACGAATTCCAATTCCAATCATCTTTCTCTCATTTACAACATTTTGAAACAAAATATTTGAATAAGAAACGACTTTTTCCTATGAACATATATGATTATGAGATTTATCATCTATTTTTCATTGTTAGTAACCAACATAGCTAACATCGATATTTTATTTTGATGGTTATATTTTGATTCACAGTTTGATACCAAAAATCATGTTGTTAAAACCGCATCGTTCTATTTTCGTTGTATTCGACAAACTAAACTGATGGATCGATAAAGATTTTCGATTTCATTAAATTGTCATTCTTTGACTTGGGTGTATTAGTTGATGGATAGATGTGGAAGGAATTGTACTCAATTGCAGCTTCTTATAAACACCTTATTGAAGAAAAAATTTACAGGATAGATACAGCTGAAGGGAGTGATTCAGTCTTTCAAGATAGGATTGTAACCGTTATATAATGGCTTTCGAAAGCGCGCAACCTTTGGCAGTTTCAAGGTTTGTGGAGGCCCGACATTGTGCAACAGATTCCAATAGTCAAAATCAAAATTACAAATACATTCAAGGAAGATGCTACGGTCCCGTTACAGAATCATTTATTCGGGGTTTATAACCGTTAGATCAGCTATATCTGACTGACGGTTACATGATGATCTAACGGTTACAAACCTCGACAGAATGGTCCTGTAACGGGACCGACCATTTCCTTACATTCAATGTTATTACCATAAGTAAAAGCTCCATCTTTGTTCAACCGTAAAATTATTCGAAAGACTATAATCAAATCACAAGCTCCACTGAACTTCATTCAATTTCCATTTCACAACATTCACACTAGTCATTCCCATTGTTTGATAATCTAAATACGTTCAAGTCCCATACGAAAAATTGTCCCAAATATTCAGCAGAGATTAAGATGCATGCAATAATTACAGAAGAAGCATCTTATATCACAAAAGGGCCATAAGTTTTCAAAAAACGATTAAATATTATGCAGCGCAATACCTAAGCAATATCCATCATCGAAGAAGAAAAAGAACATCTATTTTTTTTCCTTCTTAACACCTTCAATCTTGATGATCTGATGACACTTGCTCACCATATTAGCCATATTAGGTGTCACATAAGCATCTCCCGAAGTGCGGCGCCTGATAGAGGCCCTCTGATTCGCGTGCGCGCTCATGCTCGACAGGGCATAGGCCCGGCCCGCCTGCTCGTACGTCCTCTTACACCCCATTTTCTCCTCAGTCTCTCTCATCTCGGCCGCCAGCTGCAGAGCCAGCCTGTCTCCCGCCTGGCCCGCCGCCGAGCCCGAAACACACGACCTCGCGCTCGACAGAATCGCTCGCGCCCCTTTGAAGTTCCCCTTCTCTGCCGCCCGTTGGGCCTCCGCAAGACCCTCTGCAGCTTGCAGCCGATTCTTCTGCCTGTCGACCTCGATTTTCACCTTCACATCGCAAGGCAGCAATAAAACCGGCCGCCTTATCTCGGCAGATTCCATTTCTACCCTCTCGTTCGATGCCACGTCCTTGTACGAGCACGTGACGTCCAAAAGTGGGGTCCGCCTATCATCCTCCCAGCACACGGGGACCGATATGTCGATAAGAAAATCTTTTTCCTCGTCCGCATAAAGGTCTCCTACGGTGATCGACCCGCAAAGGCCCGATACTTCGCTCTGGTAGCTTCCGGAATGAATAGAGTTGATGCGCACGCCGCTGGACGCTGACCTCAGCGTCAGGCGGAGGTCACGAACCACGACGCTCAAGAGGCCACCGATGCAGCTCGCAAACGCGTCCTGCACCATTTCGTACGACTCGATGAACGAGAAAGTTCCACCCGATTGGCTTGCGATGGCGTGCATCACGAGCGGGTTGTGGTCATAGCCGAAGCCAAAAGTGTGGATGGGAATGTTCGGCGGCTTCTTTTCCATCTCAAGATGAATGGATGGCGGCAACAGATAAAGGTAGGGCTGTTGGCCCACGATCGGAATCATGTTCGGGTGGCAAGTGTTCGGGCGGCAAGTGTTCTGACCGTCAGACAAGAACATGATGCTTGCCACAGGATTACGATGCCTCCTCTCTTCAAGAACTCGAAGCCCCATTGTGAGACCATCCACGATGTTGGTGCTTCCGCACGCGGAAAGAAAGTTGACGGCCCGTTTAGCTTTGGCTCGGCCCGCTGCAGTCATTCTGTGCAGAGGGAGGACTCTCTGAGCAGAACTGGAGAAAGAAACTAAGGAGAGACGGTCAGACGGGCCCAGGTTATCCACAACGAAACCCGCGGCCCGCTTTACAAGGTCCAGCTTTGGCCCAAACATACTACTGCTGACATCCAGCACCATAACTAGGTCGATGGGGGCACGTGCCACTGGGTGTGATAGGGGTGGGGCCCTCAGCTCAATGACGACGCCAAAATTAGGCTTGGAGTCCGAGGCAGGCACAGCATCTTGTTCGGGGATGACCCGCAAGATAACATTCGGTAAGATGGGATTGGAGATTTGACGACTGACAGCGACAACTGGCAGGGATTCGTCGTCTGAAAACTTTATCTGGGGGGCTTCAACTCCCCGTCTTATCTGGTAAACCAAAATTTACATGTCATACTCATACCACAACAGTGTTTGCATTCAAGTTTTGATAGAAAAAAGCACACAACATGTTATGTTGTCTCCACACAGAGTGATCAAAACGGAGCACCGACTTTTAACGAAAAAAATGAGAACAAAGGACGAAGTAAACTAATTAATAACTTCAACTGCTACAACCAAAAAATGGCAAAGAGGAATCAAACTACTGATAAACACTTCAATATCAAGAACAGGTGATGACAAAAAAAGAGTAGTTAGGAAATAACAGCAAAACCCATAAGAGTAGAAGCTACATATTACAACACATAACACCAAAACCCATAAGAGTGCTAGAAAACTGAACCCACAGACTATACTTTTTTTTTTTCTTTTTTTCGACTGGAGGTATCCCCACGTACACTCGGAGACTTCACCACGAACTGCCAGCCCCCCCACGGGGTACGGGCCTAAGGGATCCACACCCAGAGGTGAGCCCACAGACTACACTTCAAAGACTCAATTTTGTGCACAAAATAGGATTTCAAAGAATTTTAAATTCCATGAGACAAATTCAGCAAGCACCCAATTCAACCACATTCATTAAGAAAGTTATATATATATGTTTACATTACAAAACACAGAGCAAAAGGAAAATTATCTCTAACGAACAGAGAGACCAACGAAAAAGAGAAAAAAGAAGAAACCTTTACTTTCTTGGAGGGTCTCGTGAGTTTTTTCTTTGAAGATGTGTTCATGGCTGCCGCCTGTTTCGGAGCTCCGATCGTCTTCATAGGGTTTGATGCGCTCTGGTTTTAAGCAGACTCACAGGAGGAACTTGTAGAAAGTGGCGTAGGCTCTACGTTTGTTTTGTTTAGATTTTGTTATTAAATTTTGTTTAGATTTTTGTTTAGTAAATGATATGGAAAGTGGAGAACTTATTTATTGAGATTTGAGACAATGGTCAAAATTTTATAAAACCTAAAAAAAAAAAACGTAATAATTAATAATTAAAGTAATATTACGGGGATCGGATATACTTTTTTTAATGCATAAAAAATACTTATATTTGTGTGATAAAAATTAATTAGTAAAAAATTTATTTTCTAATTATGGAATTATAAAAAATATTATTATGCAGAAACTAATGTTTTGCAACCCGAACAGAACTGTGATCCGGCATGTCCATTAGGTTATCGGTTCAAACGTCGGGTCATGGAGTCAAAACAAGATAATGAATTTTCCCGTACCAAACCGGACAACAATTGTTCCTGTCCGAAAAATAAGATTTCGAAATGTTCTCTTTATTTTTGTCCATTTTTGGAACCGATAGTTTTAAACAATGTCGGTATCAGTTTGAATATTTTTGTCCCGAACCGTCCCGTTTTATTTTTTTTTTCATATAAAATATTATATATATACATAGTATACATTATTATTATATTTTATTTCTAAATGAATACTTGAATTGTGTGTTTTTTTTTTTAATCGAAATCATGGAATCAATATGTTGGTTTTTTTTTTTGTTTTAAAAAATATTTAATAAAATCAATACTCTTTGTTTTAGTTTATATGTTTGTCCCGTTTTGTCCTGGTCCTAAACGATATCGGTGCATTTGGGACGGTGCCTCATCCAGGATCGGTTCATAAATGTGGGATCGGTACCGGGACAAGTCAAATCCTGGACCGTCTCGGACCACGCCCAACCCTATAAATAATTTTTATGTGAACTTTTTCACATCAAAGTCATAATAAGTATTTATATATAGTTATAGTTTTAAGAAATTAAGTCAAACCTGGCAATTGACCTCTTTCGGAATCTTCTATGACTATTAGCTTTTTTCTTCCAATGCCATTCGCAACAACAACAATAATAATAATAACAATAATAATAAACTTAGTCATACTGAGTTGACCCGACTGGTCAGCCAGGAGGTTTGCATACGGCGAGTTATCTCATCAAAAGATAAGAAGAGATTTCTGGTTTTTTGTTGATGTTGATTAGGCGACACCCAGAGTTGAACTGGGGAAAAAGGATTTTTTTATTCGACTGCTTATTTCCCGGTCTGAATGACTCACCTGCAACATTCGGTTTGATGAGATAATCTACTCCAATGGATATACTCAGTAACTTTTACTGGTTAAACATTATGTGTATAGTGACAGAAGCGTGGTTGTACATCTGTTTGTATGGATATATGTGTATAGTGGATAATCCACTCCTATGGATATAATCAGTAAGGGTGGGTTTGGTTGTTAAAGGGTGATTGTGCATGATACAATATGGGTTTGGTTCTTAAAGGGTGATTGTGCATGATATAATATTCTAGATAACATCAAAGGTTATCCATCAAAGCAGTTATTCTATTAACTTGTTTGGTTAATATTTGATAATTATACTTTTTTGGTTGAAACTACTTTTCTACCCTTCATTCAAAATTCATTTTTCACAATTTGCCCTCAACACAATAACATAATTATTGTTTCATTGCATTCATCTACCATCATCATCTTCCTCGCGCCCTATCGCCGACACATTCACGTTCGCCAAAAAGAGGAGAAGAAAAGAATGTTATTTTTTAAATCTATTAATATATAATAAGGATTATCATAATTCACTTTTAGAAATATTTTCCCGCCAATTTCATTAATTATTGCCTAAAAATAGTAAATTAACAAAATCTCTATTTATTAGCATATCTTTTCTATCCAATTTTTTTTTAGGAATACAATAAAAAATATGGAATCAAAATAAAAATAAATCTAAGAAATACACTTACCATACTTAATACACTTAATTTAAGAAATACACTTACCATACGTATTTTTAAAAATTTTTAAAATACAATATAAAACATTTAATTAATAATTGTCAATTAAAGATTCTTTTTAAGAATCAATCATATTTCTAATAATCGTTAGAAATAATATATATATATATATGTATATATATATATATATTAGTATTTACGTGAAAGTAATATATATGTTACTTAATCCTATATAATAAGGATTAACATAAATCAAATTTAGAAACAATTTCCAGTCACTTTCATTAATTATCTCCTAAAAATAGTAAATCAGATTTTTCCGTTTTTTTATTAATAACATCAAATACTTTTATATTGATAACAAATAAGGAATCAAATCCAAATAAATCTTATATTTTTCCAAACAATTTGGAAATCCGAATGTAAATCCGAATAAATCATGATTTTAGAAATCGTGATTTCCAAACAATTCGGAAATCCAAATAAATCTCCAAGAAAAATCATGATTTGTATATTTTGTGATTTTAGAAATCTGTTCAAAATTTTCTTTGCATGAATCTGAATCATAATTCATTCAGCTTATTATTATATTATTAAATTGTTTGAAACCGCATGCTACGATTTGTATATATATCAGATTTTTTAAATCATGATTTGTATATATCAACTTTTCACCAATTAGACTTTTTTCTTCATTATCGATTTGAAAAGGAAATGAATTTTATATACCTTATCGGTTTTGATAATACAATGTTATAATCATTATCATTTTTTACTTTAAAAGATAGTGTTTGTCATTTATTTGATTTCAAAAGATGAAAAAATTTTCATAGTTTAGGTCTCATTTTATTTATGCATTTATACAAATTAATTTAAAAACTCTAATAATGATTGGCAACAAAATTTTTTATATATTGATTCAAACCAACTAATTAATAAAAGAGTCCATCAATCACGAAATTATTAAATAACACACGATCACTACATTTCAAAGATTAAGTTTTTTAGATAAACATTCATTTATATTGTCATGACGATAAACAAGAGTGAGTTTCAATCTTAGAAATTTGATGATTTCAACTGCTATATTTCCAATGATTTTTTTACCGTAGGATTTTCCGTTGGAATACGCAAATTCCGTTGAAATTTTTATTTCAACCCCGTTGAAAAATCTACCGTTAGAATCGTCAAAATCCAACAGAAATTCCAATAGAAAATTCATTCCAACGGACGGAATATTTTTGTTGGGATTTCCGTTGGAATCCATTGAAAATTTCCAACAGAAATAATAGTATTGAAATATCCGTTGAAATTGACGTTGGAATAATTTCTTTTTCCATTGGAATTTTATCATTTTATTGTAGTGGGCCCAATAATCAAACTAATAATATTGTTTACAATTAGGTTTTTAATAACATATGATTTTTTTCATACCCGAACATTTTATGAGCATTTTCGGTTCAAAACATTAATTACCTACTATAGATGAAAATATAAAATGATTTAAATAAAAAATAAATCATTAATTGAATAATTTTTATATAACTCGATTTTCTGTTTGTGTTTGTTTTAGTAAATTCTTGGTTTTCTTTAATTACGT